AGATAGGGTCAAAGTCCCAAATAGGATAACCAGATAGAACACTATAATTATTTATTAAAGACCTATACAGGAAATCTGTATTTTTCACCTAAAAATAGACCTTGGCTTCTAATTTACTGACATGCTTGAATGCATCAACTAGTCTACAGTCCTGCTGACTTTTAACATATTCACAAACATACTGAAAATTGAAACACAAAGGAAGAAACTTGTAGTGGAATTATGGCATGGTGTAGTAGTTCAACATTTTCAGTCACATAATCATGGGTTCAAATCTACCAATGATTTTCTCACTGTCAAACCAAACTCAGCTCCATATAAAGCTTATAAAACATCATATAGAGATTTACAATACATCAGTCATAGTTGGATAGTTCTGTTCAGTACTGTCTATATTCTAGCCTTTGCTATAGTAGGCCTATGCTTGTAGTCAATGCTCTATTGCTATAATGGCAATAATACAGTATCTACTGTATCTATTCAATCTTCCTTTATTCAGTTATGGTACTATAATGTTTTTGTATAACTAAAAACAACTTCACTCCCTAAGCCTAACAAAAAGCAAGACTTCGTTTGTAGACCATCACTTCCATACTGTAAGTGGCAAGACGCTCTCTATACGTATAAGATAATTTTTGGTCATTGCCAGGCTAATGAATTATTTTAAGCTAGACTCACGCACACCATGTGCCCGCAACCTTTGACAGATAAAACTTAAATAAAACGGAAGTACTTGGATGCCTCTGGAAAAAACTGTTTATCTAATTATAAATAAATTCATATTTACTTCCCTTTTTGTGTGACAGTACTATCTGGAACACTTCTGGACAGGGTATTAAATAATTAGAATAATGGTATAATCAGCAAAAAAAAAAAAAAAAAAAAAATCTTTTATATTACACTAATTAATCACAAAAGCTTAACATTATGTGAGTTCTATATTTCATAGTTAGATACTCACTTACTGCAGGTTCGAGTAAACTGTACATAATGAGTAAGTTTCTGTATGAATAATTATCAATCAAGTGCTGAGCAATAAGGCAAACATCCTATGATAACACTTGAGTTAAGATTTTAGAAATACAGTAGGAAGCATTTCTATGGTCATGGTAAAAAAGGAAACCCATTATCTAAATTTAAATATTATATACGACAAAAGCTTAATAGTAAAACCAACTAAGAATAATAATACATTACAGATAAGTGTATGGAAGGAGGCCAAAATAAGTTTAGAATAAAGCCATGGCCACCAGTTAAAATTATATAAAATACACATACATAATATAATAGTATTATTTACGGTACAAACTAATACTAAATAAGTAAGTAGTAGTGGGCGGGGCATAGCTATATTTAAATTGCATATTATAATTAATACTTGTGGTAGAGTAAAATGACTGTAGTTTGTGACATTATTATTTAAATTATTTTTGATTTTTTTAAACAATAATAAAGGTTAGCTAGCCCCTAGGTAGCCTAGTTTAGTAAACGGTACTGTAAACTTGTCAACCAGCAGTGGTGAATCACATTCATTTTTATTTATTTTAAAAATATTCTTTTAGTATGTTAAAGAAGATTTTTAAAATGTTTGGCAGGTATATTTAATGACAAGGTCTCTCCATTTTCATTGATTATAGATACGCAACACCAAAGAAGTTAGCGCCTGCTCTTGCCTTCAAAATCTAGGCCTAGCTGCTAGCAAACCAAACCTGATCGCAACTCAGCCACCCGTCAGCGGGATACAGTTTCATCGGAGCAGTCCGTCCTACAGTAACACAGGAAGGCTGGTTGGTTGAGCTACGCCTAGCCTACCCTAGGCACTATACCTCCTTTCCTTTACTACTATGTATGAGTCGAGTGATAAAATACGATTGTTGGATAATAAAATGTTTACATACCCAATAAATGTGTTTATAATATCAGTAATGAAAGAAGTAAAATCAAAGCAAGCTATAAAGTAAGACAATATTTCGACACACTGCGACCGGTTATATCGCTGAATGATTTTGCCTCAGGAGGTTTTATTTAATACGTAAGAGAGGCCACCAGTGTCTAAAATATTTATGAATGAGAAAGTGAAATTAAAAGTTTTTGAATGATCAACTGTGACGTCGCTGCATCGCTGCAAGAATTTTTCTGACTATTTTATTTCATCTGTAAGTTTTGTGATAATGACAGCACAAGTTTGGACGTAGAATTCCACTTGGACCACCCCTGATTCGGCCTCTCTCTCGTAACGTACATAATAGGCCAACATTGTAAATTTAGTGCTCTCCAGCTAGTTCGAAAGAGAGAAAGATAAGGTTGGGGAGTTCGATCCCTAGTTGGAATTTTGGTCCTGTAAAAGTATTCCTGGATTGGGCGCCAAAAAAAAAACAAAAAAAAAAACAAAAAACAAACAAACTAACAAACAAAAAACCCTTAGCTAGCTGTGACTCCACATAAATCGTGCACATAAATACTTACCTCCAAATTTGTGAAAATATATTTGACAATCAACAAGCTTAACAATTATATTGTTATAAGAAATTGAGTAATTTCGATTTATGTTTTTATTTACAAAATAAGGAGAAAGTACAAGGATGATATGAAGAGCAGTTTTGAAAGCACCTTTTTTAGGAAATTTCGTTTAAGGCACATACATTTGACGTTTTTTTTTGTCAAAATCTCACAAATCTTATAAAATTTTATGTGAGACAAATAACTAGATATGTCCATAATTTTGGTTGTAATATGACATCATTATGCCCACGTATACACATAGACACATCACACAAATTGTCACATAAAATTTTATCGTTTGTGGACAGAGTTTAAGCGTGAATTTGCTGTGTACAGGTCGCGTAAATGTGTAAATCATGTTTTTTTGTATTTTGTATACCGTACCATGTGTATAGGATGTTAGTGGTTAGAGTCGGGTTTAGAGTAACCAAAGGAAGAAGATCACCAAAGGCTGTACCAGAGTCTAAGTGGCATCATGAATGTGTTTCATGTCTAATATTTATTTTAACATATGGAAGGGATTAGCTTGGTGGTGAATGCTAAGGCTTGACTCAGACTTGGAATGGAGTTGCACATAAAAATAACCATGATAAAGGTATTGACGATGATGATGATGATAATAATAATACAGTATGTCAAAAATATTTAAACGGATTGTACGTACGTACTTACAGTTATTTTATATTCCTTTTTTTTTTTTATAAAAAAAACATGTTTCATAAGAAATTCACATAAATTCATTTAATAATTGTTTTATCAATCACCGTTCATAAAAACGGACACTTCACTGAATATAAAGCATATAAGGTAGCTGAACGTGCCCTATCCACTAGCCGACCAGGGACCTCCCTCTGAGTTGTAGTAGTAGTCCTAACCACTACGATATAATCGCTTTACATTGTTTTTGTAAAGTAGTTGCTGAATGGCGTGCCATACTTGTGTAGGGCATACACAATCCGGACGTTCAAATCCTGTTCTTTGAATGACGTAAACAGAAGTATCGCCCTAATTATATTATAGGCTTACAGTATAATATAGTATAGGCCTATAAAATTGTCGCAATTGTAAATACAATTTATTGTCACATTTTTTTATAATAACCTGTCGCATTTTTAAAGATGTATTGTAGCATGCAAAATACAGAGAAAGAAAAAATTGAAATAAAATTAAAATCATATTTGAAAATAATTTTCTCATTTTAAAATAACATAAAAATAATCAAATAAGATTCAAGATTCAAGATTTATTTTCGTCATACATAGTACATATATACAAGATTTGTTTCTTTGAGTTGATAACAAACAGTGGAAATTGAATACTATAACACTATAAAATATATGACAACAATTAACAGATATAATATTAAATATGAATATAAGATATAAAAATATAAAAATATATTACACAGGGAATTAACAAGGTTGAACTATATTGTGAGGTCAGGAGAGGAATATGGCATGGAATGTAATACAGTAGATAGGCTTGATGATGAGATTATCTACTGAAGTGTTCGTTAAAGACTCTTATTGCACATGGTAAAATGAGTGTTTATGACGGTTGGTACGTTTTAAAGTTGGAATTATTCTGCCAGATTTACTAATTGTTATGAACTTATTAAGTGGGTGAGTTTGGTCATTCGCTATGTCCTTAATTTTATTAAGTAAGGCACCTTCACATAAACAACTTAAGTCATTGACCTCCGTACCTATTATTTTAAATAGAACACAGAAATTAGTGTATTTAAAAAATATTTATTCATAATTTTACTGCACAGCAAAAATGATAGAAGCAATTCCTGTTTTATTATTTTTATCATATCCAGTATGAAAAAAATAGCATTCATTTTTAAAATCCAATATTCTTGCTCAAGTTGTATGTTACTGCAGAGCGAGTTGAACATTTTTTTAAATGATTTTTTGTCATTTTCACAAGGGAAAATATGCTTTTCTCATGGATCTAGCTACTTCAAACTTTCTGGTGGTCGTTTACAATGAGCGTGCGATGATGTGAAAAGTTTTGTTATTTTAATATATAGGAATGGATATAGATAATGGTAAAGATAAGTTGTCTGCCATGCCATATTTACACTTTGTTTTTTTAAATATTTCTATATAATAGAGTATACAGATCGACACCATTGATTCCAAATATAGGGTAGGGTTGGGGGTGGGGGGTGGTGGGGTAAGAAAGGAAATTTTACAGTGAGGGTACAGGGACCGGACCTTATTAATCCTCCCAGTTGAAGAATGCTCTTATGTATGGGACACTCCTGAATACTATGCCATAACTAGATCTAAGTAATATTGTTAGGTTTCATAATTTAAAAAAAATGAAAATCGAATTTAGGTAGTATTATCTATTTTTATATAAATATAGAACTATTTTAATGTAGGCCTATGACTCCCGGTGGATACCGAGTGGAGCCACGTACTTACAGCTTCCGGGTTCCTTTCAACTCGAGCGCACACAGAGATTGTCTATTTTTGTATAGTTTTTGTCGACAACGATCGTGATCGATGGTGAGTCTACAGTACGTAGTTCATGTGAAAATGGCGACGATCGTATAGTCACGAGATCAGAAAGATACTCCTACTAAAATTGTATTTCCAGTCAATATTTAGGTCTATGAAATTGGTAAGACAATAACCTGTAAATTTAGTCGTGTTTGCAATTCACATAACGGTATATTTTAGTTTTGTTCATTAAACCGTAAGTCTTTTTTGCATAAGCCTAGGCACAGACCAGGTCACCGTCTAGCCGACCTACCGGTCTTAGGCTAGTCAATTCCCTACCCTTAGCAGGATTTCTGTAGGCGTTTTGCCGGAGTGATTAAAGGCCTAGCCTAGGCCTACATTGGCTTATTATAGATCACCGGCGTTTTATTTATATACCACGGAATCTAGGCCTAGGCTAGTTCCCATTTTAATATTTTTTCTCCTATTGTATTTTGTTCTAGGTACAGTACTTTTATAATTATTTAAAAAAAATAATTTTGTTGTAATTATAATAAAAATATGACCAAAACATGAATGAAGTACCGAAAATGCATTCCCATTAATTCCCATAATTAGGTTAGGAGTCAAGTATTGAGATGGGTGGGGGAGTTTATATGGATTGGGGACTGGCCTAGAAGGGTTAATGTGGGGGTCTTGAGGATTCATTCAGGGATGCTAGCTGGCAAAAATGTGAAATGAGTTGATTTTAACTAACTAATTGTAATTGTTTTGGCTGAGTGAATTTCCAGGGGGTGTGGTGGGGTGGCCTGGGCGGTGCAAGCTTTTTTGTGTGAGAGGTGAGCGCCCTCCAAGCCCCCCCCCCATAAATACAACTCTGAATTCCAGTCATCAGAAAGAATCAACAAATAAATAAATAAAAATATTTAGAAACATTGGAAATAAGAGGCCAGTTTCCGTGCAGATTCTCTTTCTCTATTGGTATCATCACATACAGCTGAATATAATAAGATTATCATCATTATTTCATTTTAGTGTCTGTGTTTCCCATTTCTGGGGTTAGGCCAAGACCTAGCAGAAGTGGCTTCTCCCACTTTTTCCCCTGCTGTCTGGGGAGGCCAAATTACACTAGTCTAACAACAGTATTTTTTGGATATAAAAATCTCAGTGTATATCTAGGAACTAGATACAAGGGGCCAGTCTAATAATACTAACTGCCACTATAATTTTTTTTTTTTTTGTAAATAGAATCTTTACTAATGTTACTGTGAAGAGTGAACCATTGTTATCAAGATGTCTGAAAGTAAGACGTTGCCAAAGAAGGGCAATGTAGACTTTGCAAGCTACTTCACCACAAAACACTCTTGGAGGGGCAAGTAAGTACTGTACAGTACTACAAATATACATTTTTATATAACAGTTTTTATATCATGTTATAATAGCGCTGTTATTTCATTTTTATTTTTTTTAATTATTTTCATTTTAATAAGGTCTCATTGATGGATGATTACATTGGTTGAATCATAGCTGAATAACTTGATAAATGGATAGATTGATGGATTGGTTAATGATGAATTGGTTGATGGGAATTGATTGATTGATGGATTGATTGATTGATAGATTGATTGAAGGATGAATTGAATGATTAATGGATTGATTTATTTGATTGATGGATGGATGGATTGATGGATGGACAGACAGATGAATTGTTTTATTGATTACTGAATGAATGAATTGATATGGATTGATTGATTGATTGATTGATGGATAGGTTGATGGATATATTGATGGATGGATTATTAATTGATTGATGGATTGATTGAATGATGGATTGATTGATTGATGGATTGATTGATTGATAAATTTATTGTTGGATAGATAGATTGATGGATTAATGGATTGATTGATTGGTTGATGGATTGATTGGTTGATGGAGTTTTTGATTGATTGATGGATGGATTGATGAGTGGATAGATGAATGATGGATGGATAAATAGATAGATAAACGGATGAATGAGTAATTGTTGTTGGCCTTGATTTTTAGATACAAAAGGATTTTTGCTGTTGGGACCAAAGGTGTGACTACGTACAACCCTGGAAATTTAGAAAACACAAATCATGTAAGTAATTGGAACTTAACATCTCTACCATCATTGTTCACCACCTTCTCTAGATAAAAATTTACAGTTGCTATAATTGTCATATTTGTTATTTATAGTGTTATCACATTTTTTCCTTTTCAGTGGATGTATGAAGAGTTTGTGAGCATTGGCCCAAATGTGAAAGCACCAACTACCAATGAATTTGTAATTTTATTCAGACGCGGGAAAAAGAATGAATCTATGCGTTTTTCCACCGAACACCGTGCTGATCTCATTACAGAAGCTTTGGTAATTATCATTACTGGCCAGATTCATGATTTACAGGGCAGGGTAGGGTGGAATGGGGCATCAGATGTCATAGGGTAGGAAGAACATGTTCCTTTCTACACCTGTTTACACTTTTATCAAACCCAGATTTTTAATATGTCGTCATTACATGTTACAAAATCTGCAGATATTATTTTTTTTATGTGAATCCTAATCATAAATTATTTCTCTCTATTGTATACTTATACTGCTTTAAATGGAAAAGCACAGATTTTAAAAAGTTGATGTCGCACAAGTTTAGGACATTTTTGAAAATTAAAAAAAAAAAACTATCTTTTTTTTTTTTTTTTTACAAGTTTTTATTCATAGTCAGTACATCCTTAAATTTTGTTTTGTGCTGCATGTGACAATTACTAATAAACTAATTAACATTTCCTACTTCATTTCCAGAAATTCAAGGATCAATTTAGTGGTTACAAGTCCAAGTCAAAGGTTAAACATCCTATTGTCTATTTGTACAGTCAGAGTAAAACTTGTTATTTACACAAAATAACAAGTTTTACTCTGACTTGTTATTTACACAAAATGAAATTGAAATTCTAACCTTAAGTGAAATTGGGTACATCATAATTGTTTTCTTTCAGTTAAAAAGTAAACATAATCACCTCATTATTGCTAATAATTTATTTTATAATGTGTACTGTAGTCGCATTTAGATCATTAAACCTACACACTGTATTATAACGTTAATGCTCAGATAATATTATGCTGTGTGTTATATTAGTGGAAATTTGTAGTGCATAATTTCTCTGCACCTATTTTTATATGAATAACAACAACCTACATTGAGTGATCCAAGTGACTGCTGATGGAATTTTGATTAATCAGACCATGTAGTCAGCAGTCTATTTCGTGAATGCTCATCTTTTCCCTGATCATCCTCCTCATCATCATCACCACCATCATCTTTATCACCATCATCTTCATAACCATCATTAACTTCATGATCATCAGTATCATCATTATCATTATCATCCTTTATCCTTTATCATAATTATCATCATTCATAATTTATATCATCTTCATCATTTATATCATAATCAATCACCATCAATCTGTATCATCACCATCATCTTTGTCACCATCATCTTCATTTAATATCATTACCATCAGTATCATCATTATCAATATCATCCTTATCCTTCATCATAATTATCATCATCATTATCATTCTTATCCTTCATCATAATTATCATCATCGTTCATTTATATTATCTTCATCATTTATATCATAATATATCACAATCAGTTTGTATTATCATCATCATCATCATAATTATCATCATTATCTTTTTACAGTAATGTCAAACATTTTTTATATTAATTTACAAAAAAGAAAACCACAATGAAACACTTAAATAGTGAGACATACAGTACTGTTATGGGGTGAGATGCATAGGAGACACGTTGGTTTGATTATAAATTATTATTTATTCATAAAAATTGTACAAACCATATGCTACAATTGTGAACAAAATAGTAGAAGGCAGGTGCAGCCACCACCATTAAAACTCAAGCAAGAGAATGGCTTTATGAAAACTGTAAACCTCGATTATTATTCGATTATTTTTTTCCACTGACATCAACTTCTTAAGATATAGTTTCAAGTATAGAGTCAGATTTAACTTGCATGGTCTGTTTTTATTCCAGCGTTTTAATTGCTACAAACATCACTGGAGTGAGAACCGAATTCCTGTCATCCTGGATGTTAACGATTGTGGTATCGATCAAATTTGTCCAACAACAAATAAAGTCCTCACAACGTACTACTACAAAGACATTGAAGGCTTTACTAATGTGAGTACTGCACTCTAATATTATTACCTGTTGAATGCTGTTTCAATATAATATACAATTAATATATATGATATCGTATATAAAAAATACAATAAATTTATATAATGTATTTTTGGTCACAAAAATTGTTGATAATATTTTGAGAAAAATGAGTTGTTGCCTATATGATTTGACCCTATGACCCATTTTGTTGGCGTCATAAAGTAGAATGGTTGTTTTCTTTTACATTATTTTGGTTATATTTCAATTATTTTTCCCAGGTAAGTGGATATCCAGGCGGTTTTGCAATAATCTATGGTGGATTTAGCCGACTTGTAAGTTCATTTCCATTCTATCTTTAGTTCTAACAATATTGTAAATAGTGTACTTATTACTTAGTGTAGTACAGTAGTATTTCTAGCATCCAAAAGTTATTTTGATTATATTTTTGAAATGTATAATTTTCAGGAATCTGAATCTGATATTTTGAATAATGACAGATAAAACATCACCTAATTAAACTTATTAAAAATATAGGCTATCCCTTTTAACATACCTAATACGTTACTGTAGTTTTTTTTGTATAGATGTTTTTATCATGTACAGTACAGCAGTTTTTTCCGATTAAAATAATGTCCTATGTTGTAATCTTAAGTTTAAATGCAATGTGAGATTAATATCAAAAAGTTGATTGTCAAAATTTAAATTTAATATCCTATTATAGAAATATTGTTTATTACCATTTTTTAACATTTTTTTCTTTCAGCATTTATTCGCATCAGAGCAGCGGGATGATCTACTGAAATATGCGATGGAATGCGCTGGAATTTATATTGGCGTCATGCTACGAGTTCGCAAAGAACCTATTACATTTGATCAGTTTGTACTGAACAGATTTGGAAAGTACAGGTGAGAAAAAGGACGTTTTGACATGTGTTTCAGTGGTATCGGAAGATGTGTTAGAAGAATTATATTAGGAGTGTTGAAGAGAAGAACAGAGGAAGGAGTTGTTAACTACTCTCCTTATTCTGGAGTGCCTTGTTTGGATGAATTTAAATAAGTAATGTTCTCAATAACATAATAATAATAACTTAAAATAATTGAAGTTATAGTGCTCTAAATGTTATGGGGCTTGAAAGAACAAAGAAAAGGCCAAAGATTGGAATTGTTGAGCTGCCCAGTCACAGCAGTATTTAGAATTAGGGTTGATCAGTCAGCAATTTTTTATATTTGTTATTTGACTAGGCTTAATTCTAAAGCCGGTCGTCAGCCGACACGATTCTATGATGAATGCAACACCACAATGCGCGCGCAGCAGATTGTTTGTAGTGGCGATTCCTTCAGACTACCACCGGCAATCAGCAGAAAGCGTTGCATTGTGGTAGCACTAACAGGAAGTGGAGTTGGATTTGTCGTGCGATGATCTTATGACGCAGTCAGCGTCCGTCTTTAGACTTAGTTCATACTGTCTCACTTTATATGTATGTATTTATTTAATTATTGAATATTTATTATATTTACATTGCAGTGATGACAATAGTCTGACATCCTTAGCTGAGTTCAATGTCCAAAAATTTTCACCCCGACATCCTAAACCAGTGCGAAGAGTCCTCTGTCTGACGGAAACGTGTTTGGTTGAGCGTGACCCAGCCACGTACAATGCTGTTTCTGCCAAGCCTTTATGCGATGTAAGTTTTTATTATCTGATTATATTAAACGGGAATAACTCTAGTCCTACTTGGCAATTTTTGTTACTATTATCTATTGTCTACAGTATTTCAGAATGAATGAAATTAAATAAATATATTTTTAGATAAATAATAAGTTAAAATATCAATAGTAATAATAATATATGATTTTTGATACAATTTCTATATGATACAAACCTAAGACCTCAGGACATGAATTTATAAAATGGATTATGCTAATAATATTTTTATTTTTTTAGGTAGTTAAACAAAGGTCAAGTATATATAGTTTATATTCAACACAGACAACCTAAAAGTAATTTGTTGTGTGCAGAGAAAAATCAATATGTTTATAATTATATGACAATTTAATCGTAATTTATCATATTTCGCATATTGAATGATTTTTTTCTTTAGCAAAAAAAATAATTGACTATAACAGCTAATAAACATAAGCAAAAAATATTTAGCTTTAACCATGTTTTTTAATAATGTATTTAAGGGCGGTCAAAAAAAAAAGAAGATGCAAAGTCCAGTTCAATTTCCAAGTTGAAGTTAATAGGAAAGTTAAATGGAAGGATGGAAGGTTTTTCAGTCTTTTTTGTTTGCATAATACATAAATAACTAATTTCCTTTACAGGTGTTTGCATTGGTACGTAGCAAAGAAAGCCCACAGATTTTTTATGTAGAGTTCGTCAAAGGTTATAATCGGAAATTCTCATCAACGGATAGGTATAATTTTTTTAATTATTATTACTAAAGTATTATTGTTGTTTATTATAATTGATAATTATATTAATAGGAAAGTGACTTTTGGAAACTTTTGTTAAATTATTCGTATTTTAGTTATCTTTTCTAATATACAGTTCTCTTTGAACTTATGGAAATAAGAATAAAAAAATCAAATCATGTTTTCTGAAAATGTTACCAGAACCAGATCTTCGTATTTTAATGTTTGATGATGTTGAAACAATGAAGGTCCTGTCACATGCTTCAGTTTGGAATTATAGAAATATATCTTTTCAGTGCTTTGTATAGACACAATCAAATTTGAATACAATTCTCTGTTTTACTGGATGCCAATGAAGAGTGAAACAACATTTGCTCTGTCCTGTTTAAATTGAACACTATCCAAACAGCCCAGTATGCAACCGTAACCAGATGTTTTGCATGGTAGCCATCGATAACTGGCATTTGCACCCTAGAGGGTGCACTTCATAAATGGTTCCCTGTTAAAAATACGAATGCATGATTAATTATCAATTGAAAGTTATATGAATACTATGTTTACATTTTGAAGCATGCTCAAAGTTATTACATACATTTGTGAGAAAACATTTTAAAACACTTTTTTTTAATTGATTGTTTTTTTTTTATATTTTAAAATATTGATTCACTTTTTTTGACCCAACAGAGACAACCTGATAGCTAGTGTTCTTGATGGTGTCCGTGCAAGTGGTAATCGCGATGCTCACGTAAAGATGACTTTTTCAGATAGGGGTGTCCGCCATGCACCATTCTACGTGCCAGTTGACGAGGAAGTCGAAGCTCATCACTTGAAATTTCTGGCTCAACCACCAGGTGTGTGCGTAGACTATTCGAAAATACCAATCAATTGATCTTCTATTGACTGTAAACGAGAACTGACTATTATTATTATTATGTTTACATATTAGGTAATAACTTTGCTGATGCTGTTGTTCGTTTCAACAATAATGTTTCTTACAGCGGTCTTCTCCACGCCGTTACCCAGGATGTAAGTTTATTGATTCTTTTAATTGATAAATCAATAATAAATATTTTATGAAATCGTTGTGTGGGCTATAAAGTGTACATCTTAAACTAAATAACTTATGTGGTTGGTTAGTGAAAGTGCTTGCCTTCCAATTATGGGGTTGTGGGTTAAAATTCTGTGAAACGTCAAGAGTTTATTTAAAATAGTCTGATGAAACATAGTAATAATAATACAATAATTGATATAGTAATTGTCTTCTTCCCAACAGGGATTCTTCACAGATAACAAGGAAAGAATGATCAACGTAGCATTACTTGCTTTGTTGGCACGTGAAGGTACTTACTTTCAAATTTTTATTTCTTATTTTATTTCGATTACACCCAACAGTGGTATCGCCCATTACAGGATGTATTAAAAATACACATATAATATATAATAAAATACAAGATAACATACAATAAATAACTTACAATAAAGTTGTTTTGTATACTGTAAGTTGTTAACTTGTGTCAGTAAACAGAATCATTTTATTATCTTTTTAACTGAGCATGTCAATCAACTATTTTTACTACTAACAGTTAAATTTTTATAACATATGTAATTGTTAGGTATAGTAAATTTTTAATTGTTAGGTATAGTTTTTTTTTTGTTGGACTTATATTAAATTTTACTATTTTTAAAATGCCAAATAAATTCAAATATAAGTTAATGAACATGATCGTTATAATGAGGATGTAATAATTCAGTTAAAGATCACAATAGAGGTAATTATATATTTTTTCCTTCACATAGGTGATCAGAACATAATACCTTCTGAAGAGTTGGAGAGCCAGTTTCAAGCTTTACGGCGGCTAGTAGCCTCTAAAGCTGGCTTTGGAGCTTTTACACAAATTCCAAAGTAAGCCTTTTCAACTTTGTTTTATCAGAAAAAATATAGAGATGATCTCCTAGCATTTTGCACTTAAAAATACAGAGAATCACTCTTGTTATTAATGAAAATTACCCAGTACGTACATACTTAGAAAGTGTCATTGTTGAATATTTGAAAAATAAAATCTGTTTGAAATATTTTATTTTGAAATGCTGTATTTTAAGTATTATTATTATTGAAATTTTATGTATTTTGTTAATAATTTTTCTATTTATAAGAAATAATTTAAATAATAATACTTTTTGAAAAAGTGAACTTCTGATGATAATCGATATTGATTTATAAGAAACTTCCATTAAAAAAAAGTTTTTTCTGATTTTGATTTACAGATTTCGTGAGAAAGTTGGTGTTAAGGTTGTAAAAGCTCTAAAGCGACAAGACGATGGTGTCACACATGCTGCCATTGATATGCTGTCTGCTCTCATGCAGGTAATTAACTATTAGCAGTCAATCATTAATTAATCAAGATGCTAGATCATGATTATTTAATTAACTAGTTAATAAATAATAATGTGAATGAAATAAAATATTAATTGATATATTTTATGTATGTACTCTCAAAATGAAGTGTATATCAAACTCTCAAAGGTTATGAAACCATGTTATTGAACTTTAAGAAATTTGATCAACAATGACTATTTTGATGCTGATTTTTGTTCTATTTAATTGTAGTTTTACCCTAATTTCCTGTACATTATTTAATGTTAAGTTAATAAATTTACATTTCTTTTTTGTGAGGCACTAGTAAAGTCAGTACTTTTTCAGTTAACTGAATAGAAGTTACTGTGTTTAATAAAAGTATTTTACTTTTCATTTTGTGAAATAGACAATTTTTAAAATTAATTTTTAAAATAAATAATAATAATGATATATAGGTTTATATAATAAGTTTATGTTATGTTCATTATATTTTTACAGCCTATGCATGATGATTATGATCTGAGACAAGAACAGCTAAACAAAGCTTCACTTCTTTCATCTAAAAAATTCCTAGAAAGCCTTCTTGATCTGTTCACAACGCATGTGGTAAGCAGCACAGAGATACACCCATAATTTTCTCTCGTAATTATGATAAAGACTGTAGAAGTCTGCAATACACACTGGCTTATTGCTGTGAAGCAGCCAATTTATATTCTTGACAGCAATTTGACCTCTGAAAGGTCATTGTTTGTCAAAAAAACAAGGACCTAAGACGACTGAAAAGCGGAGTTTCCTTCTTTCGTTCTGCCGGGTAAAATCAATTACTTTAGGCGACGTTTGTAGACTAACCTACTCGTACCAACGTCCGAATGTCTCGCCAGCCTTATCCTACTCTAGGCCTAGACTAGCTAGGATGGTATAGGCCTAGCCTTGAAGGGGCGAAGGTCCCAATGAAAAACAACGTCGCTCTTTGATAGCTAACATTGTCTATTTAACATCACAATAATTCATTATTAAACTTATAGTTGTTTTTTGAATTGTACTCCACAAATCTCAGCCGATACCTCACACAACTCGCTAACGTCTCTATTGTCGTGACGTCATGGCTCGCTGGCTCACACTTGTGATATGTCTCGCACTTGTGATCAAATAACACGCTGGCTCGCACTTTGGCAACACTCTTTGGCAGTCAACTCGCCCCTAGAAAACCCGCCCTTGGAAACTTGCCCCATAAAAAAATGTACATTTCCTAGACCATGCAGTCTTCAAAATAAAAATTGTAACCTTTGATAATCAACTACATTTTCTACATACATTGAAATTTTTGAAACTTTATTTTAAAAAAACCGAAACCATAATTCACCACACTATAGACACTTTTTGACAAAAATGAAAAATTACGACTTTGTTACCCAATGAGAAGTGTTCTAATATAGACAATGGGTCGTGTCTCATATTATTTGTTATATTGTGCTCATATTACTTGTTATATTTTTATTATTCATTATTTTCACTTGACTCGCATAAATAATTTTGTTCGAAGAACATTTATATGCAGTTGTACTTCGCAGCACTTCACTTGCAATTTGCAATTTCTAGTTGTAATTACTGTTGATGGTAATGTGGTAATGTAAATATTATGAAACACAGTGAGGAATATTTAGTATGCTTCATATAATAGTTATTGTTTTATTTGTTAATGTTGTTGATATTGTTATTATAATTTGATACAAAAAAAAACCAGTATTCTCAATTATATCTTAGATTCGTGGTACTGGAGCACTAGTGATCACATCCCTGCTTGATTTCTTGACCTTTGCACTCTGTGCGCCATATAGCGAGACAACTGATGGAAACTTGTTTGATTCGCTACTGGAACAGGTTGCTGGAAAGGGAAGAGTACTCTACAAGCTTTTCCAGGTTAGTGAAGCATGTTCTTATTTTTAGTACAGTCCTAAACACTCTTAGATACAATGCCGTAGGTCATTCTTTCTATTCTATTGAAATTCAGGCATGACCTATAAGATTCAAACAAACACATATTATCAAAGTATTATCAAACATTATCTGTTATCTGTCCACACTATAAAATGTCCTTTGACAAAGATCTATGGTATGCATATATATGTAGTCATGATGTGCCTATATATACTCATGATGTGATGTCATCATGACCATATTTAGGGATGTCAGTGTTTTTGTCTAATCAAATTTGATAGTCTGGACAGGGTTGTAAGTCTGACAGATATAAATCTGATGGTGTATGGCATGCACAGCTCTCATTATGTGGCTTAAGTGGTGGAATTATTTTGTAGCTATGTAAAAACAGCAAGGTTTAACAAGACCATGTAATTTTAATGTTTGTAAGCTACACTTTTACTTTGTTCTTTTATTAGGAATGATGTGTTGCTTACTTGAAGTATTCAAGGGGAATTATTTTTTTGTATTATTTGTTTATCTGCTAAAAATCATAGTACAATATTGTTATTTTTTCTGATACAAACTTATTATATAAATTCATAGTTAATAGAATATTACTAAATATAATCTTGAATCTGTAATAGCATCCTTCGATGACTGTGGTAAAAGGAGCCGGCCTTGTTATGAAAGCTATCATTGAGGTAAGTCTGTTTCATGTCAATTTAAAAATAGAATTCTCATCTGAACCATTCTGTGGTAGGGGAAGCTTTGAACATGCAGATGTGTCAGACTACATATTTGAAACATATGGTATATAGTCACCAGCTTCTAAACCAGCCTACTCTTCCATCATCCTTGAACTTCTTACTGTTGCCTTTCCTACTCTCACTTTTTTGTTTAAAATATTTGGTGCAATTATTTTCTAGGAAGGGGATGCAGAAATTGCTGCCAAGATGCAAGACCTTGCATTGGCTGAGGGTGCTCTTCCAAGACATCTCCATACAGCCATGTTTACCACAAGTTCAGATGGTAGGATGTTAACCAATAGGTAAGATCTTGTATTAGGCTTCACCTTGCTCAAGGTTTGGAGCCTTTCTATGGCTGGAAGCCCACTGATTATCTTACCTTATTAGTAAGTAAGAATGTATGATAGTATATAATATGATGATAGTAATAATCATTGATCTATGGCCTATGATTTCTTTGGACAGCACTGGCCATTCTAGATGGATTCAGTTTCTTTACGTACTTGGATAAATGTTATGAGCCTTTCCATTTACTTATATCCAATTATTTTACACAAATCATGCTAGTCTGCATAGTAGTAAAGTATGTAATATGTTTTACCAAGCATAACTTGTGCTTCATACTCATAGTAGAACAGCTAAGGGCCAAAAACTGGCCAAGTTGTGCACTATATTACCAAAGCAAAAAATATCTTTGATATGTGTAGATTTTAAAATATGTTTTGTGCCGAGTTTCTGACGCCTGCTATGGCCACCATTTTGAATTAAAAATGGCCGCCTTTAAAAGACTGGTTCCATATATCTTGGCAACGGAAAATCATAGACTTGATTTTGGTCTCAAGTTGTTTGGAACATACATGTTTCTATTTGCTCTAATGTACCATTTTGCCCAAAAGTGACCGAAAATTGCATTTTTAGCCTTTGACCCTAGACACCCAGCATACTCATATCTCCAAGACGGTTGGTCAGAGAGACCTAATTTTGACCTCAAATAGTTCAGAACATGCACGTTCCTATTTGCACTAATGCAACATTTGCCCTAAAGTGACTGGAAGTGAAGTTTATGACTTTTGACCATAGGTACCTTGCAGGATATCAATATCTGCATAACTGTTGGTCATAGAGACCTAAGTTTGGCCTCAAATTGTTTTGAACATACATATTTCTATTTGCACTAATGCAAAATTTTGTCTAAAAGTGATTGGAAATCACATATCTGGCTTTTGACCCTAAGGGCCCTGTAGCATATCCATACCTTCATATATATATATATATATATATATATATTGCAACCATAATGCCAATTGGAGCGACAAAAATCGCAAAGATAAAGAGAATCACTGGGAACTTTTACTTAAAACCACCACACCATTTGGACTCAATATTAGGAACGTTCTCCCAGTACACTAAATTGAACCT